CTGTTCATTGGTGGAGAAATCGAACAGAAAATTAATCTGGTAAGGAAGCGTTTTGCTTTTTTAGAACCTGCAGCTGGATTTTGTATGGATTGGGGAGGTGGGGGAAAATAAGGCTGCCCCCGTCTCCCTTTTTATCCTTCCTCCGACAGCTTGAAGATCCGTCTTTTCAGGCAGGCTTTTAACATTCATGCTCGCGTCCCTGAATGCCTTTTCAAAAGTTAAGATGGCTTTTAATGTTTACTTGCTTTTAATTTTCAGTTGGATTTTTTAAGTAGCGTGTAGTTTTCATTGTTTTTCAGTGTTTAACTTATTATGTTTTTAATTTTATTCTTTGTAATATTGTGAGCCACCTCAGACCTCTTTACCAGGAGGAAGGCAGCCTATAAATGAAGCAAACAATAAATAAATAAATAAATTTGCCTGGAAGAGGAAGAATGAGATGGAGAGCAGAAATCAGCCCACAAAAGTTCTGAGACCGCTGTGTGTGTATATGTGTGAGAGAGTGTGTGTGCAAGAGTGCACAAGAACAAGCACATAATGTTTACACACACACATGCCATAATGTGTACACACCAACCACAAGCCTGTAGGGCAGGCCCTACCAAGGGGCAAAGTGAGGTGATGATGGCAGGGGTCTGTGGTCGCCAGAAGGCCTTCTGATCGTTGTTGGACTGCAATTTCCATCAGCCTTAGCCAGCAGAGCTGGCGCTGGGGGCTGATGGGAATTGGAGTCCGAACAGACCAGGAGGGCCATAAGCTCTCCATCGCTGCTGTAGAAGAAGACGTTGGCCGATGAGCTGCAGCCATTCTCTGGCCATCCCGGCCCCGTGATCCTGTGGTCTGAGTTATTCTTTCTTTCCCCCCTTCCCCCTCCAGGGCCCTGTGACGTTTGAGGATGTGGTCATCTATTTCACAGAAGCAGAGTGGGCTCTCCTAACCTGGACGCAACGAGCCCTCTACAAGGAGGTCATGCAGGAGAACTACCAGAATGTGATGTCGCTGGGTGAGGAACCACTCTCTCCTCTCACTGGGGGTGGCTCTTTCTTGCGGTTACTCTCTTGGCATGGAAACCCCTGTGCCATTGCTCCGTCCCAGGGCAGGGGTTTGGAATCCC